TTCAATTTGGCAAATCAAAGTGCAGCTTCCTCGCAAAAGTCAGCATTGACCTCAATGCACGTCTCCGCACTTCAAGTCACGCGCGGCCCTGACACAAAATCTTGAAATGACACTTTGATTGATCCAGCGAGGGCGTAAGGAATGCTCAAGGGCCTCTCTTCCACTCCTTTTTGCCCTGGGAACCCCAGAGTAAAATGTTCAAATTCTGAAACGAGGCCTCCGAAGTGGTACAACTGCCACACTTCCTGGGTTTACAGAAGCACCGGTCCGTCATATGCGCCTGCATTTCTGCAACTCAAGGCATATGCTTAATCTCATTTCAGCTCTCTCATCGATTCCCGTGTAGCTTCTACAACTGGAAAACTGACAAAATTCGTAGCCTACTCGCTGCTCCATTGTTCAAAAAGCCCCTCTGTTTTCTACCGGCTTCAGCAGAGTTTTGAGCAAAAGTTGTGAACATAAAGATGAATGCGCTTCAAACAATTTGCTTCCTTGAGAGGAAACGCTTGACATGCTGCAGATACTCACCATTTTGACAGTTAGTCTTTCCACGAAAAACGTGGCCAGAAGTGAGCCCAAGCATTAGGTAAAACGCACTTGTATTTAGGTTTTATTCGTGCCTGGCGCGCAAACACGGTAACCTAAAGTGGTAACATGGGTCAGAACTGACTGGTGTTCGCAGAACTTTTCACTTCACCATTGCTGCTAGTATGTACATTGGCGCAAACTTTCGCACGGCGAAAGTGCCCACGGACACAGTAAGTGAAATGCCTGCTATCTCTCTCGGAACTAAAACTCAAGTAATGACAATCTAGGATGAAGACTCACAAGCTACTTGGTCGGGTTCCTGATTGCTTCTGCGTACCCTTAATGCCATGAGGTTTTCAGGTACCTACACATCCAACAGAATTATAGCATACGATCCTACTGAAAAGCTTCAAAAATGCATTTTTAGCAAGATTGTGTAATTGCGATAGCTGCTTAGCTGATAGCACCGAAACATTGAGGAGGAAGCGCACAAGCTAGGTCACACAGAGTACAGCTACTGCAGCGTCCGACCGCATGCTGATAAAGTGAGAATACGTTTGTCCTAAACGCTTGACCCTCGAAAATATTTACAGGAACGCTCAATTCCCCAAAGATCTGCGTGAAATCTATGGAAGAAAGTGTTATCAGGCACTGCCGATTCTCCATGCATCAAACGAGCAAGCAAGAAATGGCTCCTACTTGATTTACAGGCCTTTCAGCGTTATCTAGTGTCGACAACACACATTCTTGTTGACAATATAGGAACACCCCACGAAAGGGTTTACTGATGAGAGCGGTAAGGGCGGCTCAGGTGCTACGTAAATGAGTTGGCGCGTGCAGATTTCGAATCGGAGTCGCATGCACGACCACCGCCCTTTCAAAGTGCACTAAAAATATCCGCAGTACAGCACTCACTAGACACACGTAAGGAGCTGTGCTGGTGCAGTGTAACTGAGCAGGACAGGCAAATTGAGCGAGTGGGTGACGACGGCAAGTTCTACAGCAATTACAAAGGATTGTACAACAACAAACATAAGTACCTACTATCTGTACGACATGTTAGGTTGCAGAAAAGCAGGTCAGCTTTAAAGATGGTGGCTCTTCATCGAAGCTTTGCATGACGCCAAATTGAATGGCAAGGTTGAAACCTTGTGGCTGTTGCCACCATCTGAAGGCATCCGAGTAATTCATTTTCTACGACCAGGCCAACAGCCCGAGCAGTTCCTCTTATCTGGAAGCATAATGCTTCAATAAATCCACGGCATTAAAACAAACATACTGTCTGAGAAAAAGATGCTATATCGCGGTACCGCAACTCAAATGCTGCTCTGGCAGCGTTATTGCTCGCTCGTTCCTCCCTACGCCACCAATCAGGCAGACCACGAAGGGAAGCCAAAATACTTTAAGGTGCTAAGCCACAATCAGACAAGAGGACAGCCTGGCATACAATGATGAACCTATTGCATGGCTGGCCTGTAGGTATGCTGTAGAGGAGTCTGGGCGAAAGCATCTTGCGCGTAGAAGGCTCGCACAGGACAACCCACCAACTGTATCAACGATAGAGTTAAAAGGCCTTTTATCAGACGTAGAATGATTGTACGATCGGCAGAGCTCATTCTTCACGAAGAGCTGAAAGTAAGGCGTTGAGCAGAGGGCACCTACAGGAACCTTTTACTCAATGCACCTCAGGACCGAGGAAAGCAGAAAACAAACGCCTGATGCAGTGACTCTCTGTTTCCCTTATGTGCAAAAAACACACTTTCTGTTAGTTTTACGGCAGCACTTGAAAAATCCAATCAGGGTTGCAACCTATCAGATAGCTTCACGCCATATTCCAAGCGACATTTGCGACCATACCATCGCAATGCCTCAAGCAAGGCCGAAACTAGATAACATCCAGTTATGCAAGAATAGTGGCCTTTTCAATATCGGTTCCATTATATACAGTACATGAGCGCTGGATCACAGAGAAATGGCAGCAAAATATGCCCGATAAACTAAGTTCCGGATTGTCACCAGCGTGTTCACCGCTGCAGTGCCCATCAGTTAAGGCACCGTACTTGCTACAACAAGAACGGGTATCAGCATTGGCGACTACCATGCTCAGGCCACAATAACAAGAAGGCCAACATATATATTTCTCCGTGTATTGCGTACCCAATGAAGGTTGTACTCTGGGCTTGTTTTCGTTGCACGCATCACGTCTCACAGCTCAAATCTTATGAAAGATAAACCTCCCGAACTCGCCGAGACCCGCAGTATATGGAGTCAAAGCCTAGAATTCCGCCATACCCGGGCAAGCTGATGCTGCATATAAGTAGTAAATCTACCCCAGATGCTCTATCCAAGCACAGGCAAACGACATGAAACGAAGGGGCATGATGTTGACCTGAACTGCAACAGTTGAAGGGCCAGCTGCGTGTTGAAGCTAGTTTCTGCACATTACTTTATGCGCTAACGGACGCAAAACATGTTGCACCCACAGCGAGCAAAGCAAACTTTGATGCTCTTGTGTCCAAGCGTACGACTACACAGTGCAGGTGCTGCAACAAAGAGACCAACTGACGATAGCATGAGACAGTCCATGGCCACACTTGCAAAGACAACTTACTAGCTACGCGAACAATTCAGCGACGACGTCGGCCGCTGAAGTGTAGCAGCACCTGTTTTTTCACGACTTGCAGAGGATTACAGAAACACGATTCCCATATGCTTGAAGCGTCATACAAAAGCCCGTGACACCCTTCATTCCGTCCCGATGCATTCACTCGCCTTAACGGCCTTGACATTTCCGCTGCCGCATAGAGTTCGTGCCACGCTGTAGTCTACGGGATCACTTCCATCCTTTACGCTGTCTAAGGACCTGCATTGCTGCTTCTACCTTCCACCATCCACCAAAAACTCGAGAGTTGCTGCATTATCAGTGAGCTCAATTAGTCATTCATTTTGGCTGCATTGGCATCCCCTACTGACGCAGATTCAAGTAGCATGCGTGCGTGCAGCGACATCCCTGCACCTTCAAAAAGATCTCGACCGTCGTCAGTCAACCTATTCACGTAGGCCAACTGAGAGATAGATGGCATTTAAGAACACAAATATCAGCACGCCAGTAGCGTTTCCTAAGGATGCGCACGAAACTGGCCTCGTGTGGCCATTAGCTAGGGCTGGGAAGTATCAGAACGAGTCAAGTGCTGACTCCGCCCATCCGATAACACTAACATGCACGCTTTGCAAACCCATATGCTAAACTTAGAACGTAATGCCAGCAATACAGAAACTTCAAACGTTGAAAAATATTATGCCTGAAGTGCAGATACGCTGGCCACGCGGGAGAGCCTTATCTTCTGCTTAGTGCAATTACGAAGCCCTTGCCACTGCTCTTTTTACTCGTTAGGCTGCAGACTGCAGGTTGCTGCGCAGAAGGTAAAACTGTGCTGCACGTCTCATAGCAAATCGTGTGCATGAGGCGTAGGTTGAGAAAGTATTTTTATAGGTGCATAGACCCCTCTGTTATAAGAGCTCCTTTTAGAAGTAGGTCTGCCCCCCCATGTAAATGAATCAGATGCCACATTGCGATTTCCGCTTCGGCGGTATGCCCCAACTAACATTCTGTAACGAAAATGCCGTATGTGGTCGTCTCATACCAGTACAAATGCAGCTCGGCAGGATGGTCACACAAGGATGTTGGGATATAGGAAGCAAGCAGCTGCTTCAGTTACGATTTACGCTAGTTGTTTGGGGCAATATGCTATGATTGAGCTCTCTCCAAGAACACAACATGCAGAAATGCTGAGTAACTGTCTCCTCCTTACGCGGGCACATGCAAAAACAAAGGGCAGCAGTATGCTCGGCTGACGCCACCATGGATGACCTAACAGACACACAGGAAGGCCCCGTCAGCTTGCGCTCTGTTGCAGATGTCACAACTAGAATATCTTGTATGGTCATTGTTCTGTAATCGAGGGGGAAATGTCTGAAACAGATCGGGCCAAACCTTAAACGCGAACAAGGAAAACAGCCGGGTTGTCCCCTCAGGTGCTAAGTGTTGCATATAGCCCCCAAATTTTTGCACTTGACTTTTTCATCAGTGAGCATGTGAAGAATATTCCTGTAGACAGGCACCATCTGCCCTTCCTCAGTAACAATAAAGCGTAACAACACGCAATCGCGACCCCTACAGTCGACACTACAGGCCACCGGATCTAAAGACTAGCTGCTGGGGCCATGATTGACACTTCTCCTTTCCGCCCCTCACAAGCACAAAAGTAGATCCCCCAACCAGCCACGAATGCCACCTGGAGAACTAAAGGGACCTAGATCCACCTCACTGCAGTCTTGTGGTAGCCCACCACACCGCACCAGTGTTGCTGCCAAATACCTTTACAAAGCTCTTCCTTCGCACGTTTCCAGCAGCCGCATTTTACCATGTTCTTCGATTTAACAACATACGGCTCACAAAAATCCAATATCCCTCAGTGACTTAAAAGTACTGGAATCTCTGCTTCTTGTGCTGCTACGGTAGTACGCACCACTGTTTGTTCCCCCAATACCGGCTCGGGTTTTCCTTCCTCATCGCTTTCTGAATCACTGGATGGTGTTGGCTCTCTGTATGGCTCGGCGTCTTCTGATGCCAAGGAAGACGCATCCCCAAAGACACTGGGTAGTTCGCTGGTGGGTATGTTTAGGTCTAGTTGGCTCCCGGTAAATGCGCTCTCAACTGAGTGCTCGGCTTCTGGCGAGTTGTCCAACGTGCTTCCGCGTTGGAAGTTTGAGGGGCTGGCGCTGGCAGGGCGGCTGCTGCTTGGCGAGCTCGGATAATACCACTCCTCGTTTGGATCATAGTCCTGCAGCCGCCCGCGCACACAGAGGCAATGAAACGTACACGCCGATGCAGCAAACGAAAAAAAGTGTAGGACTCAGCGTGAATACAAAAACAAAAGCCAAGGCACAAGACACAGCCTGCGAGTCGGCGGCGGATTCACTGGTTGAGTGAAGCATTATGAGAGCTTTTTGCGGGGCAACGCCTCCACTTTTGCCGCAAGTGTATCCATATCTGCAGCCGGCCCTTTCAATCGGTGTAATAAAGCCCTAGACCCTTGACCCCAAGCCTCAAGCCTCAAGACCTAAGCTTCGCCACCGTGGCAGTCATCGGCAATGCATCGTTCTCGCTTTATGGCTGCATGTGGGGATTCCACGAAATGCGCCTGCAGATTTACTGCACATTATTTGCATTTAACTGTCCATTTTGCCCCATAAAGTTACTTTGATGCCCACAGAAACCAGCGCGTTCAAGAACGCCATGCAAACAGCCATGAACGCCACAGCCTCCAAGCTGTTTTGCAAGCGACAGAGAGCCATTGAGAGCAGATGGTTTGGCTGGCATATATTTCACCGTAAGCCACACTCCGTGTTGCGGTGGTTGAGACCGTCACACTTTTCCATGTACTTTAACAGCAGATTAGAGTGAAAGATGTCCACTTGAGCTCGTGCAAGACAGGAAACTATGCGGCGTTCATCACTGCTGCGCAGCCTGGCAAGACGCTGCCTCTCCAGCAGCAGCAGCAGCAGCAGCAGTAGTCACTGCAGCAGCGGCTCCAGCTGCGTGTCTTCTCAAAGTGCGCAAGTTGATGGCAGTTCCAACTGAGCTGCGGACCCCCATGAGGTTAATTCATGCCGCACGGCTCGCGCTGCTGCTCCTGAAAAATGTGCAGTTAGATTGCTGCTGCTGCGGAAAGCCGGAAACGTTGCAACTTACGCTGCCTTCCTTCTCCCGTCGGGCCTTTCTGAGGAAAATTGCAGCGATGATGAAGCTGAGAAATGTGCAGAAGAGAGGGGTCATACTGCGCCCTCTGGTCCCTGTTCGACGGTTGATCGCATGGGGGTTCTCCAACTCCCCAATCGTGGCCTGATTTAATTGCCAGCCATCCACCGCCTTCCGAGGAACACGGATAATCGCTGTTTTGTTTGCAGATAGAGAAGCCAGGGGCCCGTTCGCGGCAAATTGCAGCAGCAAAATTGCCAGAAGCTGCAAGAGGGAGGAGCGGCGAAGAACACCGCACAACATCGTCTGGCGGGGCATAAATCTGTCTCAACAGATCAAGCTTCACTTGGGTATCTCACAACGAAGATAATGCCAAGTTACACTAATAAAACATTACGCGGCTTCCAGAGCGATACGCGGAGTCACCCAGTCGCTGCTCCGCCTCCCAGAGGGGAACAAATTTGAGAGGAAAACCCACAGAGCATGCAAAGAAACTTCCAATTACGTGTAAAAAGACTTTTCACTGTTGTTAGCTCAAGGGACCTTGCCATAGGGCTCTATGTTGTGTTTTGGCTGTGAGGGTTCCCCGTGCGACCTTATACAACAGCCCTGGGGCCTCTTACTCTCCCCACTCAACCAGTCTAAAGTGAGAGCTAGAAGTTGCTAATACTTTTATATCTAATTTTATAAATTCTTTTCTTGACATCGCGTTTTAGGGCACTCGAGAGAGACGCGTGCTCGCCGCGGCGTTTCACTAGTCCCTTCGGAAGCGGCTATGTTGTCAGCATTCCGATACCGCAGAGACTGTGCAGATCCTCCGTGCCCCGGAATAATATTTAATTAGAGCATGATTACCTTATATATTTTTAAGATATCAACCACCAATTTCGCACCAAGACAGAACCGCAGTGTACACGCAAGGCTCTTACGCTCTCAGCAACATATGAACAGGAAAGCATAATACCCGTGCACAACCAAGCCACAGAACAAGTATCCAAATTTTCTCATTGGCCACAAATATTTTGATATATCGTCAGCTGATCGCGCAAATCGCATTTTACTCCAACAGAGGGTCCCCTCTTAGCTGCACTGCCTCAGCAGTGCATTCATTGAATGTAAGTTCGTAATTCCACGATAAACAACAACCTGCAACCTAATCTCCCCTGAAACCACGGACGCCGCTGCTTCAAGTTCCCTACAAAATTAATTTTTCGTGTAGGGGAGGTCTGCCCTGGTGGGCTATTTTAGATTTTATCAACCTAGGCCGCTCATGTTCGTCTGGCTGGGTATGGTGATGCACGCTTGTTACCCCGCAAGAGAAATCAAGCCACAAGCACGCTCGGACGCGCCAAAAAAAGTAAATAGCAATTTTCACGGTTTTTTAGAGCGAGCTTCTCTGAGTTTCGCGACCATTTACAGTGCCAGTGCTGCGCCTACAAGACCAGCGGAGCGCTGGGCTGCAACTCTCCAGCAGGCTCTACTCACGGCAAGAAGGCTCCGTGCCACAACTCAAAGTGTGAATCAGACGCTAATGAGCTTATTAGTGGAAGTTAGTGGGCAAGCTCAGGGCAACAGGTGCTAAGCGAAGCTCCATATGGCTTCAAGCGTCTCCCTCGGTTTCGTACGAGAATAGGGCTACTTAAGTGGGAGCTGGGCAGTGCGAACAGGAGGACATATGAATGCTGCATTTCTTCTTTTTCACAAGAAACAATCTCTAAGAAGGGACAGCCTCTGTCCCTAATTGCTGGTTGCCACTAATTGCTGACGACGTGATAGACCCTTCAGTTCCAAAGCCTGCTCTGTAAAGACCTGATTAAGTCTTATTCATCACTGCATGGTCCTATTTATTGAAGCCCTTGTACGGCTTACGGAATTTAATAGCATTTCTTGCATCTACCTTCCGCAGTTTTCTGCACGTCAGCGCTGTTGCAGTCTTTCTGAAATGGCGATAATATAGACCACAGCATACAGCTGCCACCTCTGCGTTTGCAATTCTTATTCTTTGCTAGTGAATTCAGAGATATGCGTTAGTGAGTAACGAGCCAAGAGTTATCTTCGAGTCTGCCCATGTTTCTCTTGCTTTGCCGGAGAACGAGGCTGCGAATATTTTGGAGGTTTTAGGAAGTGACGCTGTCTTCGCAAGGATGCCTTGCATAAATACAGCCAGTTTATTCCAACTTGAGATAATATTTACCCTGACGTTCATCAGTTGAAGAGGGGGTGGCTCAGCTAAGGCTGTGGCAGTGCTCACGGAGGCTCACCTGCACAGAGGACCCGGACCCCTCCACAGCTTTTTAATTACTCACTGCTAAGCCAGTGCTCTCCCACAAAAAACTAGATAACTATCTACTTCAAGAATCTTGCGAAGCCAAATTTACCTCGGCGAAAAAAAACAGTCTTGCAAAAGCACGCTCATTCCATTTCCAGGGATGCATAAAAGCTCTTATCACATGATAGAAGTATTTCTTTTGGAGCAATTTCCAGAAATGTTAGTGCTTCCTCATCAGTGCTCATGCTACAACGCGCAATGAAATCCTCAACTGCTTCTAAACAAAGCCACAAGTCTAACTGGGCACGGCAAGGCGCCACAGTTACTGTGAAGCAACAGCCTACATTGGTGATTAATTAAAAGCAAGGAATAGCATATGCGATGGGGCAATCACCACATTACAATCATCTGTATAATTGGAGGCTTTCCGGGAAGCTGGTATCAGGAAACAGCCCCATAGCTCACCATTGAATGCGGCCCTTGTGGCAACCAGTGGGCGGCGTGCAAGTAATAAACTATAGGAGACACAGTGGCTCTATAGGCTAAAATTCGAATTTTTGCTATCGACAGAAATGTCCTGTTCTTGTTCTAATTTCGTAATCAGGGCGAGCTATTTCACTTGTGCAAGCAGTTACCATACGTCAGCCTTCAAGTAAAAGGAAGGCGCCGCAAGAGTTTTGGAGATTGCCGGTCAGAATAAAAATGCAGCGAAGAAATGCTGCATCAGTTAACGAATAGGGCAGACTTACTCTACTGTTATTTTGCGGAAATATTAATATAACAGTAGAACCGCCCCAGAATTTTTGGCTTTGCTTGTGGGCACTGGCCGGATGAGCAGGTAAGCCGAAAGCTTGATAAAAAGTGTCTTCAGATAATTTGGAAATCATCTGAAGGGGCCAATTCAAGGTGTACAGCATACACAAAAAATTAAACGCGGGCAGAACACAGAAGGATCCCTTCCGTATTCTTTGACAGTCCCGACATGAGCCAGTAAGAACGAGCTCAAATAGCAAATTTCAAACAATTAGTTTCACTACAACGGACGAGGTCGCGTCACGGTAAAGTTCCAAAACGCACACTGCACGCCCGATCAAGTGTCCGGCTCACAAACCCTTTGCATGCGTCTCCCGCAGGTATCGGCAGAAGGAACGTAGAGAGCCTTTGGACGCTTGATATAGTTCGGTCTGCTGCTGAGCCACTGCAGAGGCTGTCAGTAGGAGTGCGAAACTGTTTGCCGAGCGGCAACAGCAGCAGCCCATTCACTGCACTTGCTTTGACTGTTTCTAGTCGAGCTTGAGAAACTCAATGACGCTCCCTACCATCGAGTGGTCGCTCCGGAGGTCGTACACATGAACTCCCTTGCGAATCGAAGCAAATACTGCCGGCAGCGACTCCCCTGCGCTCCCCACTTCTATAATGCGGTCCAACACTGCAGTGCTGGCTGTGGGCAAACGGACAGCCACTCTGTCCAGGTAGCCTGCGCCTTTATTTGAGCTGTACACTTTTGAGGCCAGGCAACGTTTGAGCACGCTGAACGGCGAGTGCCCCTGAGTCGCCGCGACACACAGCAATTTGAAGAAGAGAGGTTTCAGCACATTGGAACAAGATTTACACAGCTTAGTGGGAATGCACTATGGTAAAAGTAGGTGAGGAGCTGCAAAAGACTCTTTAATGGCATTCAAGGATCTGGATCCTCCGACAAACAGCACATAATGTATTCACACAGAGTGGTGCACCTCTAAGTGATCACGAAAAAGGATTGCAGCAGTTCTTGCCACAGACTGCCACTGCTTACTTCCTTGGGAAATTCACTGGGATAGCGACAACCGCGCAACCACTTGTAGGTAACGCCTGCTCTGTAGCACATGCTTATTGTGCGGAATCCCAGCTGCCGCATAGATGCCGGGATTGTCTTGGGGGCCCCCTCAATACTGACGCTTCTGCCTAGCCTGTCGGCAGACCAGAGAAGTGGCACGTAGGTGTTGTCAATAATGTCTAGGGGTTCGGTCAGAGCCTCCATAAGTAGATGTGTCATCTTGAGGTTATCCGCTGAGCAACGAAATGCACAACGTCAGGAAGCGGATTCACATTAGTCATCCTTTCCTTTATTCAAAACACGTTGGTGGTGAGGGGAGCAGTGCGTGGGGTCCAAGGGGGAGGCCTCACAAAGATCTTCTGGAAGCTCCTGTGCCTTATCGAAAATGGAGTACTGTGAGCTCTCTACCGCAGCAGTCTTGAAGAGATGTGCTAGGGATTCAGCGTGAAAATGTTCGTTGAAATCGGCCCCAAAGACAACCCCCAAAGAGAATGAGTCTAACCCTGGTGAGTACGCAATGACAGGCAACACCATTGTAGGAAGAATTACGTGAAAAACGCGTTACTTCTTCCTTCTTTAAACAAGAAACATATACATCCAGACACGGTACAACTCGAATTCTGTATAAATGCAGCCTCGTCTATGCAATATCAGATGCAGCACTAGGAGCTTGAAGGCAGCATCCAATTTAAGAACTAAAAGGCTTGCCTAGTGGTTTGCTGCCGCAGAACTTGATGAGGTCGGGAAAGACTCCCTCAAACTGCTCCGCACTCCAGCCCTTGAGATGGCCCCCCATGACGGCCAATCTGCCCATCTGGGGAACTTCAAAGACGGCCCCCACGAATCCTTTTTCTCTTTTGTGAATTGCTTGCTCCGCTTTGCAGACTGTCAGGGGAGTGTGCGTCTCGCGCATAACATGAATGATGGTTTGGGTGTTGGGTGTGAGCAAAGCTTGGGCCTGCGTTCCTATTAGGTTGCCCAAGTAAGTCAGGCTCGGAGTGCCCCAATTGGGGTCTGTGCTTAGCATGTTCAAGACAAACTGGATGTTTGTCAGCATCTGCTGCTCCCTGCGAGAGTCCAACTTCATGTTTTCTTGAAGCAGAATCGTCACCCCGTCCACCTCGTCTGCCTCGAAGCCTTCTGATTCGTCCAGAAACGCAGCCAGCAGCTGCAGCGTGTTCGGCTTCACCATAAGCGCATTCCTGAGCCTCACCAAACCGAAGTGACACACAGAAAGATGAGCTGCAGCAAAACTACATAAGAATGATGAGCTGCAGCAAAACTACATAAGAAGGATGAGCTGCAGCAAAACTACATAAGAAGGATGAGCTGCAGCAAAACTACACAGAGAAAGATGAGTTGCCGCAAAACTGCTACACACAGAAAGGTGAGCAGCAGCCAGGGCTGGGGGCATAACAGAAGAATACGAGGCTGCAGGCCAGAGCCTTGAGCGAGCTGAAGTGCAGTTGAAGACAGAAGATAAAGGCCCACCACTGAATGTAGGCAAGCCTAAAGGCTTTGTGAGGCTTAGACTTGATCCCTTCTCGAACTTTTTCCATCGCTTCTCCGTTCTCTGTCACAAACATGTTGAACTCCCTCAGGGTGTCTTCTAGCGGGCCAAGGCAAGGGGGTTTGGGCAGTCTCAGGCGGCGCACCACCTCCTCGGGGCTGTAAACCCGAGCCATGGGGTTCGCGCCGCAGCTCTGCATAGGTATTGAATTTGTGGGCCCCAAGTTGAAATCCACTTGTCGAGTCGCCGCAGCCAGAAGTGCAGCCCTTGTTGGCTTGCTCTTTAGAAATTTCTCGACTGCAAAGGCACATCAAGTCCCAACGGGCCAACACGTTTAGAGTCTGCTGCCAATGCTGTTGAAACCAGCTTACTATGCGGCTTAAAAGTAGGAAAAATGTTCAAATATGAGTTTTGAATGCAAAGGCTCTTCGTATGTGGCTCAGATGAGAGCCAGCCCCTGCTGTGCAAGCTGCATGAGTGTTTAGGAGCACCTACGTGCTCGCTTCACTTTCTAAACATCTTATTAATGATTATATTGTTATTTAAAGCAGTTCTGTTGTTCGAAGTGGGGTTATTGCTGCTGCTTCTCTTGATGTTTTCACCTGCCGGTCCATTGTCCTCCAAAGGAGCTTTGAGCGCTTCTCGCTGCGAAAACGGCAAGCAATCGGACATGCAAGAACACAACTGTAGCAGCAGCAGCAGCAGCAGCAATGAAGCGTTGGTGCTGCTGCACTTAAGAGGTGCCCGTCTGCAACCATTCTGCCACTAATACAGAACGGCAGAGTCACGGTGGCTTTCTGAGCCACTGCAGGGGCCTGATCTGCCCTGAAAGGGGCCTCTTGGAGGTTCAGCTTACTTCTGCAAACAAAGCAAACGCAAACGGCAACACACAAGATGTTCTACTTGCCTGCCTTACCATATTTAGCAGGCCTGCGGTGTAAACAGCGAGACAGCTCCGAGACACTCGGCGCTGCAAAACCCTCATTCCTGTTCGGGGAATAAAGCTAAAAGCTCATGAGTAAGGCTATTTAGATTTACCTTCGTCACTCAATCCAGATGGCAGGCTGAGGATAAAGACCGCAGAAACAGTTCATAGGTGAATCACAAACCAGCAGACGTGCCTACGGTGGGCTGCTGCTGTGCTCGTCTCTGGCTCGGCTAGGGTTTGGCTTTGCTGTAAAATAGGCAATTTTGGGATCATAATGTATTAAAGAAGGTACAGATCAGGGGAAAGGCACACCGAGAAGGGAGAGAAGAAGACCTTTTCGCGCGCCGGGCAGGCGGCTCGGGCGGGCTGATCACATAGCGGCTTCTGGATCGCCGCAACCTCCTTACGACATTTACTGTGTCTAAATATGATTCAACTACATCTGGAGATCCAAGAATGAGAATTATAGCTGCAATAAAACTCAAAAAGATGGACATTATGCCTGGAGAGAGGCAGAGCCGACGGCTGGTCGCCATCGTGGAGGTCGTCGGGCTATGTGTCTGCCTCTCTGCTTCTCTCGGAGAAGCTCTTCACGTTCAAAAATAAATAAAAATGTATACGTAAAGAATCAAATTTCAAGAAGAGTGGTGTGATATTTTAAGCAAGTGCTCAGAAGTTAAACTCAGACAGCAAGGCCCGGCAGCCGCAAACGGCAGACCGCCAAGTCAGCATCGGCGAGCTCCGGCAGCATTCCTGATTTTTCGAGCTAACTTCGGCCAAATTTTATTCTTTTCTTATAAACAATAACAGAGAATATTGTTTTACAGCTGGGTTTCAGGTTCAAAGTATGACTGCCGGTTCCCCCACACTCACTGGGTAATCGACTTCAGAGCGAGCACAGCGGGCAGTGGCTCAGGCGGTGCCCTTCACCGCAAGAAAAGCGTATGAGAATGCAGAATCAGACCAAACCGATATTTAGAAAACAAATGCAATTAAATAAAAGGTATATTTAAAGCTAATTTGCACAATTTATTTGCATTTCGAAGCCCGCGGCTCGATGTTGCCTGCAGCGGCACACGAACATCACCGAAACAAATGCCTGAATATGGATATTCTTCCACTCGACGCCTCTTTTCCTGAATAAGCGCTCAAAATACAATTCATTTTCAATGATTTGCATTTTTTAAGGCTCCATTCTTGCATTTTGGTTTTCCCGATTTCGCATACTGAGTTTTCTGTCTACGACAGCCAACATCTGCAGCAGCGACCACCAGACACTGCGCACTTCTGCAAGAAAACAGCAGCAGCTCATTAATTTTAAGTACTTATTTTTATTTATTGCCACAAACTTGCTACATATATACAAATCTGCCACTCCTGAGCTTTCTTACTCAGCAGCATTCAGCTCTGCCCGCCTAAGACCCGAGGGCCGACGAATGCGCCTCTAATGCGCTCCATAGTCTTAAGCAATGTGCACAAAATGTCTTAGACTAATTTTGAATTCGAATATTATGAACAATAGTTCGAATCAGATCATCTTTTGAAGCCTAGGATTCACTCCACGGCCAATCTGCACACAGAACGCTCCGTGATTCCCATTAAGAAGCTGCAAATAAAACCAAGAACACTTCTCCGCTGCTTCAAATCCGCCTTTTATCCTTTTTAATTATTTATTCCGGCCTCTGTGACTATTAAAAAATGCTTTTCTTTGCGTCTCTGCTGCTGCTTCTTCGTCTTCGTTTGTATTCTCTTTCTTAGTTGCCTCTCCTCCTATCAATTGCCTTTAACGCTTTCTACTGCTGCGCCTTTGCCTCTGTTTTAATTCTTCTATTTTACTCATTTATATTTTCTTTTTTGCATTGTTTATCACCGCCACTCCACAGCTACTTCGCTAGCCAATCTCTCGAGCTTTTTTTGCTGCGTTTTCCACTTCACTGAAAAACCAGTGAAGAGGAAACGGCGGCCCCCGCCGTTTCTGAATCGGGAGAAGGCGAAGCAAATAGTGTCATTTGCTCTTTCGCCTTTGTTGGACAGACCTAGGGTTTAGGGTTTAGGGTTTAGGGTTTAGCCTGTCTCAGTCACAGTTTTGAGGCAACTCCCCACAACTGCAGCAACCCAGAGAAACCCCAGAGGAGCAAAAACGCATTGAAAGGAAGTCTGCATGCAGAGCTGAGGTGTACGTACACCTCAGCTCTGCATGCAGACTTCCTCAAAAACGCATTACAAGGAAGTCTGCATGCAGAGCTGAGGTGTACGTACACCTAAACGCCGCAGCACTTCTTCAACTTCCGTCCAGAACCACAAGGGCATTTCTTATTTGCGTCCCGAGACTTCAACTCCACAGGGGGTCGGTAAGCAACAACATTTCCCTCCTCCTCCACTGCTGCATCTGCAGCAGCAGCAGCAGCAGCAGCAGCAGCAGCAGCAGCAAGAGCAGCAGCAGCTAATGGCTAGACCCCGCAGCCCTGGTGGCACCAGCAGTGGCAGGAGCCGCCGCCACCGCAGCAGCAGCAGCAGCAAGACTGGCAGCAGCAGCAGCAACGAAGGCGGCAGCAAAAGCAGCAGATGCTGCGCCACTTAGACACAAAGACTGCCACAGAAAAGGCAATAGCAGGGCGGCAAGTGGCAGCAGCAGCAGCAGCAGCAGCTGCTGCTGCTGCAGCAAGAAGAACGCCAAAAGTGCGCAGCAAAAGAAGCGCCAAAGCACTGCCTCTGCCAAACTAAGAATAAAACAGTGCACTAGCAGCAGCAGCAACAAAGAGGCACTAGCAGCAGCAGCAGCAGCAGCAACAAAGAGGCATTAGCAGCAGCAGCAAAGAGGCGCTAGCAGCAGCAGCAGAAAAAAGGCATATATGCAGCAACAGAGAAACACTAGCAGCAGCAGCAGCAGCAGCAACAAAGAGGCATTAGCAGCAGCAGCAAAGAGGCGCTAGCAGCAGCAGCAGAAAAAAGGCATATATGCAGCAACAGAGAAACACTAGCAGCAGCAGCAAAGAGGCACAGCAGCAGCAGCAGCAGCAAAGAGGCAGCTGCATGCGGCGTGAGCGCAGCAGCGAAGTTGCTGCAGCACAAAAGCTGCTGCAGCGAGAGCAGCAAAACGGTTTGAGCTGCTTTTTCGAGGCAAATGGATGGGAAAAAAGCGGAAATGAATTAAATAATGAAATAAATAAATAAATAAATAAAATTAATTAATTAATTGATTAATTAATTGATTAATTAATCAATTAATTGCATTAATTACCCCCGTTCCGCAGCTGCTGGTCCAGCCGCTGCAGCCGCAAGTCCCCCAACAAGTAATTCGCCCCTCTGTTGAAAACCGAATAAGCGCTCGCGCCGCCCCCGCCCTCGCCGAGGTTCCAAAAAATCAAAAATATGCCCAAGACGGAGGCGAAGCTGCAGCAGCAGCAGCAGCAGCAGCAGCAGCAGCAGCAGCAGGAGTAGCAGCAGCAGCAGCAGCAGCAGCAGCAGGAGTAGCAGCAGCAGCAGCAGCAGGAGTAGCAGCAACAGCAGCAGGCGTAGCAGCAACAGGAGTAGCAGCAGCAGGAGTAGCAGCAGCGGCAGCAGGAGTAGCAGCAGCAGGAGTAGCAGCAGCAACAGCAGGAGTAGCAGCAGCAGCAGCAGGAGTAGCAGCAGCAGCAGCAGGAGTAGCAGCAGCAGGAATAGCAGCAAGAGTAGCAGCAGGAGTAGCAGCAGCAGCAGCAGAAGGGCGAAAAGGCAAAAGGAGGAAAACGAAATAAGAAAAGGAACTGCAGCAGCCGCCAAATGGAGGTCAAAATGAAATTAAAAAATAAAAAACAAAAATTAAAAATTAAAAATTAAAAAAGACAAAAAAGAATTAAAGCAAACAAAGTCTTTAGGCAGAACTTGTAAAAGTCTTGAAGTGCAGCAGCAGCAGCAGCAAGGGAATTTAAACTTCAAAATAAAACAATTAAAACTGCTGCTTTTAATTTAATTCTTTTAATTTAATTCTTTTAATTATTTCTTTTATTAAAAAGACTCACGCGGCGCCCAAGTAGCGAAGACACAGCAAAACCCCCACCAGCAGCAGCGCCCGAAACGCATTTGCCCCTGCAGCAGCAGCAGCAGCAGCAGCAGCAGCAGCAGCAGCAGGTGAGAGCAGGACGTGCCAGAAAGAGCAGCAGGGAGCCGCAAGGCAGCAGCAGCAAACAAACCTTAAGCAGCTAATTGCAGCAGCAGCGCAGCAGCAGCGCAGCAGCAGCGCAGCAGCAAGACCTGCAGCGAAGGATCTTCAGGTGTACGTACACCGCAGCAGGGGGCCTTCAACGGCCACTCGGACGGCAGCGAAGCCCCGAAAAGCAAATTAAAAGATTTAAATAATAATTTTACACTAAGTGCCAAGTTTGTCTTTTAATTTGAATCTTTTCTTTAAATCTTTTATTTAAATCTTTTATTTAAATCTTTATTTAAATCTTTATTTAAATCTTTATTCAAATCCTTTGAAAGACCCACAAGTCAGTTTGGCTTTCCAGAACTTCTTCGTCAGCAGCCGCGCGAGGAACTGCTGCAGGTCTTCCCCGTCGTCCATGGTGCACTCGGAGCCCCTTTATGCCATTTAAGGAAAGCAGCGGAATTAAATTGAAAAAATAAATTAAATAAATGGAAAATAAATGCAAATTAAAGCAAACAAAGGGTCTACAGCTCAGGAGCTGTCTGTACAGCCGGGAGCGAAACGCCGCCACGCGAAACTGCCAGCAGCGGCTCCAAGCGAAAGCAGCAAACAGCAGCTTTCTACATTTGTTGTTGAGATTAAAATGAAATAAACTGTTGGAAATTAAATTAAAAGAACAAAAACGAAAAGAAATGATCTAAAACCGACAGAGCAGCAGCCCTTTCGCCGGCTGCAGACCATTGGCCGCTGCAGCGCCAACTTGCCCAAGAAATGCGTTTATTTGACAGCTTTTGTTAAATTTAAATTAAATTTGAATTCAATTATAACTTAATTTTTATTTAATTTAATTAAACTTCTTCTATTTGCTCTCTTTAACTCTTTATTTCGTGTTCTTATGGCCTGCGAGCTCACCGAACGCATGCAGCTGCATGCAGCCCGCGGCGATGCGGCCGATCCAGTTGCTTGAGCGTGTAAATGGGATTTTAAATATTTAAATTTATTTAGATTTAAATTAATTATTATTTTCATAATAATTTATTTTTATTTAAACAATTATAATGGATCCGACGCGCTGCTGGAGTCAAGCCGCGCGTATGTTATCAATAATTGCAATAAGGTAACAAACAAAACTGCAGTAGCTGCTGCAGCTGTTCCTTTTGCTGCTGCTGCTGCTGCAGGTATCTCTTGCTGCTGCTGTAGGCATCTCTTGCTGCTGCTGCTTCTGCTTCTTTTGCTGCTGCTGCTGCTGCTGCAGGCAGCTCTTGCTGCTGCTGCTTCTGCTTCTTTTGCTGCTGTTGCTGCTGCAGGCAACTCTTGCTGCTGCTGCTGATCTAGGGAGCCACGACGCCATAAGCTGGGTCCCGTAAAGACTGAAGCAGCAAAAAATGAACAAAAAACAAACCCTAAACCCTAAACCCTAAACCCTAAACCCTAGAACCCAAAATTTGAAAGGTAAAGGGGCGGAGTTCGCCGCAGCGCCTCGAGGCCGTTGCGCGCTGCTGCAGAGCAGCAGGAAAACAAATTGGGGTTTAGAAAATAAATAAAAGAAAAGAAAACAAATAAAAAACAAATGAGCAAACAATGAAGAAAAGAAAACAACTTGAAGTGCAAGGCAACAAAAAACAAAGGCGCTGCGCAGCAAAGCGCTGCTGCTGCAGCAGGCAGCGCAGCAAAGAAGAAGTCCAAAAATAAAACAAATAAAAGAATTGAAAAAGAACAAAATAAAAGAAATGACAGAAAAAATAAAGCCACAATCCACAAAGTCCGGAGAGCGACAAAGCAAGACAAACAAACACCTCGCAGGGCCAGCCACGGGGGCAGCTGTTGAACTTCCGTTGGACTTGATGATTGAAAGGATTTTGAATTGGATTTAATTGCATTAATTGAATTAAATTAATTAAATTAAATGAATTAAATGAATTAAATTAATTTCAATTGTTAAACTCCATTCCCTTTATAAAACAAGCAGCGGGCGGCAGAGCCCCGCCGGCGCGCACTGGCCTTTGGCTGTGCAGAAGCGACAGCTGGCGGGCGTTCAAAAACTTGAATTTTTTTCCCGATCTGCGCGATATTTCCGGGAAACTTCTTCAAAAATGCATTATTTTGGAAAGATTGACATTTATTATTGCAATTCTGTCGAAATAAATGGCATTTGGCGGCGCTTTCCTCCGTTTCGGCGGCCTCAGAGCAGCGCGAGCGCCAGCGCGAGCGGGCCGTGCGCCGCGCCCGCCTCAGGTGTATGTACACCTGAAGCCTCCACCCCCAACACGCGCAACTGCGCCCACGCCTTTTCTTTCATAAGATTTAATTTGCGGATTTCAGCAGCTTCTTCCGCAGCCATCAGGTCTATGCTGCTGCTGCACTGCTCCGCAGTCCACTGGGGCCCCAGCTGCAGCGGGGCCCTGTGCGTGCTGTTCTTTTCCGTGTTTCTTTCGAATTCTTTTAAGTAGCTGCTGAATAAAGAAACAAGAAAAGGTCCTTCATGGGTTTTGAGGCCTGGGGGGCCCCCCGGGGGGCCCCCCGGGGCCCCCCCGGGGGGCCCCGGGGGGCCCCGGGGGCCCCTCGCGGGGCCCGGCGACAGGGGGGCCCCCAGGGCCCCCAGCAGGGGGGCCCCCCCTGCTGCTGCTAGCTGGTCATGCTTTAAACCAAATTGAATTAAATCTCTAAAGATTTGATGCACTCTAACGTCGGAGTCTTTGCGGAGTTTGTTGGAGTTGGCAACTGCTGCCAGCGTTTCTGCGAGCCGCCGCGGGACCCTGTTGCTGCTGCTGCTGCTGCTGCTGCTGCTGCTGCTGCTGCTGCTGCTGCTGCTGTTCACCATCCACTCGGCCTCGCCGAAGGGCCCGCTGCTGTCCGCCAGCAGCATCTTCGTGAACTGCTCGAAGGTAATTCCGACTTTGCGTCGGTTGGCAGCAGCAGCAGCAGCAGCAGCAGCAGCGGGGCCGAAGGCAGCAGCAGTGGCCGCCGGGACGTGGGCCGCGGGCGCAGCAGCAGCAGCAGCAGCAGCAGCAGCAGCAGCAGCAGCAGGCATGGCCTTCCCCAGCACTGCAGAGCCTATGCTTCTGCTGGCACAAAGGGCCTCCAGTCTATTCAAAAACAGCAAACGTTCTGCTGCTGCTTCTGCAACAGACTGCAGCAGCAGCAGCTGCAGAGTGTATTGGCTCACTTCGGGGGCCCCCACGTCCTGGCTGGGCAGCTGCAGGGCCCCTGCTGCAGCAGCTTGCTGCAGGAAGCAGCTGAGGGCCCCCCCGGGGGGCCCCCCGGGGGGCCCCCCCG